GAAAAAGCATTAAGACAACGATATCTGTAAAGCCCATATTTAAGCTATTAAGTAAAATTAAATGTAACTAATTAGTTTTATTGTTCTACTGGGTGTAGAAAGAGAAGACGAAATTATAATTTGGACAAACGACAAATTCGCAGGTGGTGCATATTGCAGCATATATTATTAAAACATTAACGAGTATAATCTGTACCTGTTAGCTGTTTTTACGATAAATCCATCGAATAAATGAATGGCTCTGGCAGATGTTTGGACAGAGGCACAATTTCAAAACTTGCATCTGTAATTAAATAATTTGTTAAAAGATTAACAATCTTGATTTATACATTGGTGAGCAAATGAAATAAGTCACCCAGTTTAAAGTAAACAAGAATGGGTTTAATTTTTACTTATTGTTGAAACTTGACTAATGCATGGAATAATAATACAACACAAAATGTACTTAGAACAAAATGTATTGAAACAAGAAAGTGTACACAATATTTACATATAGTCTTTTGTATATTCCTGGGAAGACCGTTCCTGGAGAATGTGTTGACTTAGTCGCAGTCGGGCAGAGTCTCTGGATTGAATCGCTTGATTCCTCCCCTGGTCTTCCCGGTACCAACCATATTTATATGGTCGGTACTCCACTATGCAAATTAGGTGGATCCTACCACAACACTTATAAACTATAAGTATTCGACAATGTGCTTTCAAGAGCTGTATTTGTAGTCATTTAGGATTGTAATGAAAGTTGTCGTGATCCTTGTATGAGGCGAGATGCCCACCAGAATGTAATTGTGATACTGAAAATAAGGCATGTAAAATTTATGAGCCATTTGACACACTTCGAAATTATCATTCCAGATTCGGTTGTCCATGCATATTTCTCATGTTAAACGACCAAACACAGATTACATTGGCTGAAGCCTTCAATCTGTCATTTTCGTATCGTTGATTTAAGTTTCAAACGGATGAGGGATTTTGAAAAAGTGAATGAAAATCTATGAAATATTATTAAAAATGAGTAACGTGAAATCTCTAAGGATCTTGAGACGTAAACACATACTGTCCATCCGTCCTGGGAATGACGATAAACTACATCCAGCTGCAAAGCCTCTGATCGGAACGTTTTGAGGAGTGTGAAACCACCTCTTAATTGTTAACCCAGTGTTGTAGCACCTGTTAGGGTCCCAAGTATGGGAAAATAATTAACCCTCAAACTTGGATAAAAACATTATGAAAGTATAAAAATAGATTTTTATAGTAAAATAACAGTAATACATTTTTGGAAAAAATATTACTAGCAATATACTTTAAAAAAAAAATTAACAGCAATAATTTTTTTACAGAATATTACCAGCCATACATTTTTGAAAAAGAAATTAATACATATCCTATCTTTAGTAATTAATTAATTAATACAAATCTATCTTTAAAATCTTGGCGGCATTAAATAAACCATTGTGTTTAATATGCCGTAAAACAAAATAAACCTCAACAAATTTTTCACGCGTTGATGTTGAAAGCATTTTAGATATAAAAAATAGTGGTAGACCTTCGAAATTAGACACAAAAGATCAAATAATACCATATCCAAATCAATATTAGCAGCTCGTCAAATAAGTCATGAAAGCACCATTACTACTGAAGTGTCAATTCATACATAAAAATAATTTAAATGAATGTTTTGCAAAATAACTTCCATTATTAACCACAAGACATGGGATAAGAGAAAAACACTGACCAAAAAATAATCTACTGTTGGAAAATGAGAAATAGTCAAAAATGTCATATATCAACGAAAAGAGAATAATAGTGATATCTAATCCAATTCTAAATTCCTAAGAGCAATAGATACAATAAACAATCCAAATCATAGAACAAATGGTGGGGTCTATGGTAAGGAGCTACATCAGACGGAATAGTAAAAGAGAATTGATAAAAATCGACAGAAAACTGCCCAGCAAATATTACCAAATGTAGCATAAGGTAAAATAATTAAACACGATGGATCGCCTTGCCAGATATAGCTTGTAACAAAAAGATTCTAACCGTTAATGTCATCGCATTGTTACCAGGTTGGGTGTATAAAATAAAACCAAAGACCTGGCAGGAACTTTGGATTTACTGTCAGGACGATTGGTAGAAAAAGACTTGATGAGACGATTTAAAGTATTATTCCATCCAGCGCGAGATGAGACTATAAGTCTTACCAATGGCAGCCATATTAAATCGAGATCACGATGATTAATGACTCTAAATATATAAATTTATATTTTGCGATTATATTTTTTTCTTTTATCAGCAGGGTTTTACGTTTTCTCTAGTAGCTTATAACTTGTCTATTTATAATATCACAATATGTTCTGGTCTGTATTATACGTTTTGTTGAGTCTATACGAATGCAACGGATAGTACTCTTGAAAATGTATTGTCGAATATGTAAAAGTTCTAAGTAAAAATTTAAAATAACAATTTCGGCCCTTGTTTTATTACAGTGGTGTTCAGTCTGTAAAAACCCTAGGGCCACTTGATATTAGAAGGTTACAGAGACACTGCTCATGCGGATATGTGTAGAAGATAACGGTTAACAGGTTAAGATTGTAGTGATCGGGGGAGAAAACTTTTGGAAGTTTTTTTCCGCATGGTAGGGGTTCGTGGGAAGAAGCTGCTCAAGATAAACATGCATCTCATCACGGGGATATGAATGGAATGAATTTGGTTTGCTACAATGTGCGTGACATAGCGGGTCTTAGCTATGAAGGTTAAAACTGGTGAAAATAAGAAGTGTAGCTCACCTGAACGCTCACCAAGGAAATAGTAATGTAGCAGTGAGAGACTTGAGACGTCTCCTCCCTGAGAAATGTGTTGGAGAGTGGAAAATAATTCGTCGCCTTCAAGGATGCGGATAAGCTTCTGGACTCTATCGAGAGTGGGAATCTAATTTCTTGTATTCGACACTGCATTTTTGAGCTGATAGATAATCTAAAAGTTTTGTGTTACTGTATTTCATGTCTGGGGAGAAACAATTTAAATGTTTGCAATTTTAATGCCATAATATATTAATTAAAACAAATAACGAACATGACTTGGATTTTTCAGTTGATATTATAGTAAAATTATCCAAAAGTTGTTTGTCATGTCAGATGTCTAGAGAGGGAAAAAATTCCATGCTAACAATTTTAATGAAATTATTAGTTAATTAAAAGAGATTGGTTTGAAAAAAAATTAAATGTGTTTGTATTTTGATGCTGATATTATGGTGAAGTTTTTCCAAAGATATGTGTCACCGTGTCAGATGTCTGGAGAATGCTGGCATGTGAAATGTCATAATATATTAATTAAAAGATTAATGAACTTGCTTATTTTTTTGCTTTTTTTTTTTAGCTGATATTATTGTAAATTTATCCAAAAGTGGGTGGCATCATGCTGGATGGCTGGAGATGTGTAAAATTGCAATGCTTGCTACTGTAATATCATAATATATTAATTAAAATATTGACGATTGAAATATGTTTAAGCTGATATTATGATTATCATCAAAAATTTATCTCCTTTCATCTATCTGAACAGTGGCGAAATATAAATGCATGAATAGACACTATTTTCTATACATACACCATGTAATAAGGACACATAGATGTTGAAGTATGGCGATCAAACAAGCTAACCAAACTATTAAAATTGTTGTGATTCCGCTAATTATTGAGTTTGAGATTTCAGGATTGATTCATTGACTCTTTTTTTTACGATTTATCAACTTTTGGAAGGTTTTTAAAGCGAGAAATATTTTTAGATCGTATATTTTTGGAAGGATAAGGATTTACTGATAAAAGTCCTTCTAATTAACACATAACTGTGACAGAAGAGAATCCATACCTTTACCAGATCTATTTGTGTGTAAGTGAACATTGTGAACCCGACGGGAATTGGAACTCGGCTCTCCGATTTTCAATTTAGTGTCGTTATCCTTTGCATCATCCGCACACATCCAAGCTTGCAACAACACTTTGCATTCCCAAACGATCAGCCGCCAAGTTACTGACAAATATCGATGTTGCTTAACTTCGAATATGATACGAGAACCGGTGTTTCAACGTGATATTACCGCAAGCCATCGAGATTTCGGAAAATGAGAGTTACAGTAATACCTTGAGATACGAGCGTCTCGACATATGAGTGTTTTGAGGCACGAGCCAGAGTTTGGCCGATTTTTTGCCTTGAGATACGAGCTGAATTTTGAGATACTAACGAGTTTCAGTTATGTATCCGTAGTACACGTGATTACCTCTGCTCTGGAAGGATCTCTGTTGCGTTGCGTTGTGTCATTTTGCCGTTATTTTGCAAAAAAGTTTTTTGGGTGACCCCATGGTAAGTATAATGATCAGTAGTGAATTTTAGGAGCCTGAAACGGATTGGAAATATTCCCATTAATTTCAATGGAGATAATTGATTTGAGATACGAGTCTTTTGAGTAACGAGCACGGTCTTGGAACGAATTAAACTAGTATCTCAAGGCAACACTGTATGTCCGAAATTAACGGAAGCGATATATTGAAATCACGAAAAGATACATTCTTTTTTAACTATCTTTACTGGTTTTCTTTAAAAATGACTTCTTCCATTTGTCTGGCTTAAATTTTCTTTCGATATTTTATTTCTCTCTTTCTTTCTCTCGCGCTCTTTCATTGCGTTGATGCCATCTTTTCTTTCTTACCATGACTTCTACGTTATTTTTTTTAATATTTTACTTGTGCTTTGTATGCACGGCTTAGTTATAACGTCCCCGTCCATTGTTTCAACGTCTCCATTATACTGTTTCCGCGTTTCCCTTGTACTTTATTTCCCATTTCCCTTCTAGTTTGTTTCGACATCACCCTTCTACTTTGATTCCATGTAACCCTTCTACGTTTTCCGCGTCTCCCTTGTACTTTATTTACGCGTCACCCTTCTACTTTGTTTACGTGTCACCCTTCTACTTTGTTTACGTGTCACCCTTCTTCTTTGTTTCTATGTCACCCTTCTACATTGTTTCCACGTCACCCTTCTACTTTCTTTCCACGTCACCCTTCTACTTTCTTTCCATGTCACCCTTCTACTTTGTTTACGCGTCACCCTTCTACTTTGTTTCTGTCACCCTTCTACACTGTTTCTACGTCACCCTTCTACATTCTTTCCATGTCACCCTTCTACTTTGTTTACGCGTCACCCTTCTACTTTGTTTCTGTCACCCTTCTACACTGTTTCCACGTCACCCTTCTACTTTCTTTCCATGTCACCCTTTCTACTTTGTTTACGCGTCACCTTCTTCTTTGTTTCTATGTCACCCTTCTACTTTGTTTACGCGTCACCCCTTCTTCTTTGTTTCATGTCACCCTTCTACATTGTTTCCACGTCACCCTTCTACTACTTTCTTTCCATGTCACCCTTCTACTTTGTTTACGTCACCCTTTCTACTTTTTTTCTGTCACCCTACTACACTGTTTCCGCGTCACCTTTCTACTTTTTGTTTCTGTAACCCTTTTACATTGTTTCCACGTCACCCTTCTACGTTCTTTTCCATGTCACCCTTTCTACTTTGTTTACGCGTCACCCTTCTTCTTTGTTTCTATGTCACCCTTCTACTTTGTTTACGCGTCACCATTCTTCTTTTTTCTATGTCACCCTTCTACATTGTTTCCACGTCACCCTTTCTACTTTCTTTCCATGTCACACTTCTACTTTGTTTACGCGTCACCCTTCTACTTTGTTTCTGTCACCCTTCTACACTGTTTCCACGTCACCCTTCTACTTTCTTTCCATGTCACCCTTCTACATTGTCTACGCGTCACCCTTCTTCTTTGTTTCTATGTCACCCTTCTACTTTGTTTACGCGTCACCCTTCTTCTTTGTTTCTATGTCACCCTTCTACTTTGTTTACGCGTCACCCTTCTTCTTTGTTTCTATGTCACCCTTCTACATTGTTTCCACGTCACCCTTCTACTTTCTTTCCATGTCACCCTTCTACTTTGTTTACGCGTCACCCTTCTACTTTGTTTACGCGTCACCCTTCTACTTTGTTTCTATGTCACCCTTCTACATTGTTTCCACCCTTTTACGTTTTCCGCGTCTCCCTTGTACTTTGTTTCCATGTAACGCTTCTATGCTGTTTCCACGTAACCCACCAACTTTGTTTCTATGTCACCCTTCTGCTTTGTTTCCGCGTTTCCCTTGTACTTTGTTTCAACGTCCGCCTTCTACTTTGTCTCCGTATCACTCTTCTACTTTGTTTCTTTGTCTCCCTTGTACTTTGTTTACACTTTTATGTGTAATTTGCTTCCAATTCTCCATTCTACGTTGTTTCCACGTCTCGATTTTACTCTGTGTCAACATATTCTTATCTACATTGGTTCCATGTCTCAAATCTACTTTCTCCAAGTATTCCTTGTTTTTTGTTTCCCCGCCTCCTTTGTACTTTGTTTCTTCGCCTCCCTTGTGCTTTACTTCTAAGTCTCCCTTGTATTTTATTTTCAGGTCTCCCTTGTGATTTGTTTCTACGTCTCCCTTGTACTTTGTTTCCAAGTCTCCATTCTACGCTTTTCAGCATCTGACTTTGTTTCCACCCGCCTTCCATTTGTTTCAACGTATCGCGTCTACATTAATTTTCCTCGTACTTTGTTTCCACGTATCACTTGTACTTTGGATCCAAGTCTTTCTTCTAATTTGTTTCTATATCTCTTTTGAAGTTTGTTTCCACCTCTTCACTCTACTTTGTATTGACGTCTCCCTTGTACTTTTTTTTCTTCGTATCCCTTATACTTTGGTTCCGCGTCTCTTTTGCACCTGTATACGTATCTCTTGCTCTTCGTGTCTCTATTTGTTTCCACATATTTCTCGCTCTTTGTATCTCTCTTTGTAGTCATGTCTCACTCTCTTTCTATCTCTCTTTGTACCACGACTCTCCCCCGATTACTGTATCTCTCTTTTTTCCACGTTTCACTCTCTCTCACTTTAGTTTTCTCTTTGTTTCAAGATCTCCCTCACTCTTTGTGTCTCTATTTGTTTCAAGGTCTCCCTCACTCTTTGTGTCTCTATTTGTTTCAAGGTCTCTCTCACTCTTTGTGTCTCTATTTGTTTCAAGGTCTCCCTCGCTCTTTGTGTCTCTATTTGTTTCAAGGTCTCCCTCACTCTTTGTGTCTCTATTTGTTCAAGGTCTCCTCACTTTTGTGTCTGCTTTTTTTTCAAGATCTCCTTCACTTTTTGTGTCTCTATTTGTTTCAAGATCTCCCTCACTCTTTGTGTCTCTATTTGTTTCAAAGATCTCTCTCACTCTTTGTGTCTCTATTTGTTTCCAAGGTCTCTCTCACTCTTTTGTGTCTCTATTTGTTTCAAGGTGTCCCTCACTCTTTGTGTCTCTATTTGTTTCAAGGTCTCCCTCACTCTTTATTTGTTTCAAGGTCTCCCCACCACTCTTGTGTCTCTATTTGTTTCAAGATCTCCTCACTCTTTGTGTCTCTATTTGTTTCAAGGTCTCCCTCACTCTTTTGTGTCTCTATTTGTTTCCAAGATCTCCCTCACTCTTTGTGTCTCTATTTGTTTCAAGATCTCCCCACTCTTTGTGTCTCTATTTGTTCAAGGTCTCCCCCTCATTTTTGTGTCTCTATTTGTTTCTAAGGTCTCCCACTTTTGTGTCTCTATTTGTTTCAAGGTCTCCCTCACTCTTTGTGTCTCTATTTGTTTCAAGATCTCCTCACTCTTTGTGTCTCTATTTGTTTCAAGGGCTCCCTCCTCTTTGTGTCTCTATTTGTTTCAGGTCTCCCACTCTTTGTGTCTCTATTTGTTTCAAGGTCTCCCTCACTCTTTGTGTCTCTATTTGTTTCAAGGACTCCCTCACTCTTTGTGTCTCTATTTGTTTCAAGGTCTCCCTCACTTTTGTGTCTCTATTTGTTTCAAGGTCTCCCTCACTCTTTGTGTCTCTATTTGTTTCAAAATCTCACTCTTTTTGTGTCTCTATTTGTTTCAAGGTCTCTCTTTGTGTCTCTATTTGTTTCTGGTCTCTCTCAATTTTTGTGTCTGCTTTTTGTTTCAAGATCTCCCCCTCACTTTTGTGTCTCTATTTGTTTCAAGATCTCCCTCACTTTTGTGTCTCTATTTGTTTCAAGGTCTCTCTCACTCTTTGTGTCTCTATTTGTTTCAAGGTCCCCTCACTCTTTTGTGTCTCTCTATTTGTTTCAAGGTCTCCCCACTCTTTTTGTGTCTCTATTTGTTTCAAGGTCTCTCACTCTTTGTGTCTCTATTTGTTTCAAGGTCTCTCTCACTCTTTTTGTGTCTGCTTTTGTTTCAAGATCTCCCTCGCTCTTTTGTGTCTCTATTTGTTTCAAGATCTCCCCCTCACTCTTTGTGTCTCTATTTGTTTCAAGGTCCCCTCACTCTTTGTGTCTCTATTTGTTTCAAGATCTCCTCACTCTTTTGTGTCTCTATTTGTTTCAAGGTCTCCTCCTTTTGTCTGTCTATTTGTTTCAAGTCTCCCTCACTCTTTGTGTCTCTATTTGTTTCAAGGTCTCCCTTCACTCTTTGTGTCTCTATTTGTTTCAAGGTCTCTCTCACTCTTTGTGTCTCTATTTGTTTCAAGGTCTCCCTCACTCTTTGTGTCTCTATTTGTTTCAAGGTCTCCCTCACTCTTTGTGTCTCTATTTGTTTCAAGGTCTCTCTCACTCTTTGTGTCTCTATTTGTTTCAAGGTCTCTCTCACTCTTTGTGTCTGCTTTTGTTTCAAGATCTCCCTCACTCTTTGTGTCTCTATTTGTTTCAAGATCTCCCTCACTCTTTGTGTCTCTATTTGTTTCAAGGTCTCCCTCACTCTTTGTGTCTCTATTTGTTTCAAGGTCTCCCTCACTCTTTGTGTCTCTATTTGTTTCAAGGTCTCCCTCACTCTTTGTGTCTCTATTTGTTTCAAGGTCTCTCTCACTCTTTGTGTCTCTATTTGTTTCAAGGTCTCTCTCACTCTTTTGTGTCTGCTTTTGTTTCAAGATCTCCCTCACTCTTTGTGTCTCTATTTGTTTCAAGATCTCCTCACTCTTTTTGTGTCTCTATTTGTTTCAAGGTCTCCCCACTCTTTGTGTCTCTCTATTTGTTTCAAGGTCTCCTCACTCTTTTGTGTCTCTATTTGTTTCAAGGTCTCCCTCACTTTTGTGTCTCTATTTGTTTCAAGGTCTCCCTCACTCTTTGTGTCTCTATTTGTTTCAAGGTCTCCCTCTTTGTGTCTCTTTTGTTTCAAGGTCCCCCACACTTTGTCTCTATTTGTTTCAAGGTCTCCCTCACTCTTTTGTGTCTCTATTTGTTTCAAGGTCTCCCTCACTCTTTGTGTCTCTATTTGTTTCAAGGTCTCCCTCTCCTCTTTTGTGTCTCTTTTGTTTCCAAGGTCTCCCTCACTTTTGTGTGTCTCTATTTGTTTCAAGGTCCCTCACTTTTGTGTCTCTATTTGTTTCAAGGTCTCCCTCACTCTTTGTGTCTCTATTTGTTTCAAGGTCTCCCCTCACCTCTTTTGTGTCTCTATTTGTTTCAAGGTCTCCCTCACACTTTTTGTGTCTCTATTTGTTTCAAGGTCTCCCTCACTCTTTGTGTCTCTATTTGTTTCAAGGTCTCCCTCACTCTTTGTGTCTCTATTTGTTTCAAGGTCTCCCTCACTCTTTGTGTCTCTATTTGTTTCAAGGTCTCCCTCACTCTTTGTGTCTCTATTTGTTTCAAGATCTCCCTCACTCTTTGTGTCTCTATTTGTTTCTATTTGTTTTCTGATCTCCCCTCACCTTTGTGTCTCTATTTGTTTCAAAGTCTTTCTCACTTTTTGTGTCTCTATTTGTTTCCAAGGTCTCCCTCACTCTTTGTGTCTCTATTTGTTTCAAGTCTCCCCTCACTCTTTGTGTCTCTATTTGTTTCAAGGTCTCTCTCACTCTTTGTGTCTCTATTTGTTTCAAGGTCTCTCTCACTCTTTGTGTCTCTATTTGTTTTTCAAGGTCTCTCCCTCTTTGTGTCTCTTTTTGTTTCAAAGGTCTCCTCATTTTGTGTCTCTAGGTCTCCCTCACTCTTTTGTGTCTCTATTTGTTTCAAGATCTCCCTCTCACTCTTTTGTGTCTCTATTTGTTTCAAGATCTCCCTCACTCTTTTGTGTCTCTCATTTGTTTCAAGGTCTCCCTCCTCTTTTGTGTCTCTTTTGTGTCTCTATTTGTTTTGTTTCCAAGATCTCCCTCACTCTTTGTGTCTCTATTTGTTTCAAGGTCTCCCCTCACTCTTTGTGTCTCTATTTGTTTCAAGATCTCCCTCACTCTTTGTGTCTCTATTTTGTTTCAAGGTCTCCCTCCCCTCTTTGTGTCTCTATTTGTTTCAAGATCTCCCTCACTCTTTGTGTCTCTATTTGTTTCAAGGTCTCCCTCACCTTTGTGTCTCTATTTGTTTCAAGGTCTCTCTCACTTTTGTGTCTCTTTTTGTTTCAAGATCTCCCTCACTCTTTGTGTCTCTATTTGTTTCAAGGTCTCCCTCACTCTTTTGTGTCTCTATTTGTTTCAAGGTCTCCCTCACTTTTGTGTCTCTATTTGTTTTCAAGGTCTCTCTCACTCTTTGTGTCTCTATTTGTTTCAAGATCTCCCCACTCTTTGTGTCTCTATTTGTTTCTCAAGATCTCCCTCACTCTTTGTGTCTCTATTTGTTTCTCCCTCTTTTATTGGTCTCTCTCTCACTCTTTGTGTCTCTATTTGTTCTCTAGATCTCCCTCACTCTTTGTGTCTCTATTTGTTTCAAGATCTCCCTCACTTTTGTGTCTCTATTTGTTTCAAGGTCTCCCTCACTCTTTGTGTCTCTATTTGTTTCAAGGTCTCTCTCACTCTTTGTGTCTCTATTTGTTTCAAGATCTCCCTCACTCTTTGTGTCTCTATTTGTTTCAAGATCTCCCTCACTCTTTGTGTCTCTATTTGTTTCAAGATCTCCCTCACTCTTTGTGTCTCTATTTGTTTCAAGGTCTCTCTCACTCTTTGTGTCTCTATTTGTTTCAAGATCTCCCTCACTCTTTGTGTCTCTATTTGTTTCAAGGTCTCCCTCACTCTTTGTGTCTCTATTTGTTTCAAGGTCTCCCTCACTTTTGTGTCTCTTTTGTTTCAAGATCTCCCTCACTCTTTTGTGTCTCTATTTGTTTCAAGATCTCCTCACTCTTTGTGTCTCTATTTGTTTCAAGATCTCCCCACTCTTTGTGTCTCTATTTGTTTCAAAGTCTCCCTCACTCTTTGTGTCTCTATTTGTTTTTTTGTTTCAAGATCTCCCTCACTCTTTGTGTCTCTATTTGTTTCAAGATCTCCCTCACTCTTTGTGTCTCTATTTGTTTCAAGGTCTCCTCACTCTTTGTGTCTCTATTTGTTTCAAGGTCTCCCTCACTCTTTGTGTCTCTATTTGTTTCAAGATCTCCTCACTCTTTGTGTCTCTATTTGTTTCAAGGTCTCCCTCACTCTTTTGTGTCTCTATTTGTTTCAAGATCTCCCTCACTTTTGTGTCTCTTTTGTTTCAAGGTCTCCCTCACTCTTTGTGTCTCTATTTGTTTCCAAGGTCTCCCCTCACTCTTTTGTGTCTCTATTTGTTTCAAGGTCTCCCTCACTCTTTTTGTGTCTGCTTTTGTTTCAAAGATCTCCCCCACTCTTTGTGTCTCTATTTGTTTCAAGATCTCCCTCACTCTTTGTGTCTCTATTTGTTTCAAGATCTCCCTCACTTTGTGTCTTTTTGTGTCTCTATTTGTTTCAAGGTCTCCCTCACTCTTTGTGTCTGTTTCAAGTATACCTTTTGTCCCCTCACTCTTTGTGTCTCTATTTGTTCAAGGTCTCTCTCACTCTTTGTGTCTCTATTTGTTCTGTTTCAAGTCTCCCTCACTCTTTGTGTCTCTATTTGTTCTCAAGGTCTCCCCACTCTTTGTGTCTCTAGTTGTTTCAAGATCTCCCTCACTCTTTTGTGTCTGTATTTGTTTCAAAGGTCTCCCCACTCTTTGTGTCTCTATTTGTTTCAAGGTCTCCCTCGCTCTTTGTGTCTCTATTTGTTCAAGGTCTCCCTCATCTTTGTGTCTCTATTTGTTTCAAGTCCCCTCGCTCTTTGTGTCTCTATTTGTTTCAAGGTCTCCCTCGCTCTTTGTGTCTCTATTTGTTTCCAAGGTCTCCCCACTCTTTGTGTCTCTATTTGTTTCAAGGTCTCCCCACTCTTTGTCTCTTTTGTTTCAAGTCTCCCTCACTCTTTGTGTCTCAAGGTCTCTCCCTCACTCTTTGTGTCTCTATTTGTTTCAAAAGGTCTCCCTCCCTCGCTCTTTGTGTCTCTATTTGTTTCAAGATCTCCCCTCACTCTTTGTATCTCTATTTGTTTCAAGGTCTCCCTCGCTCTTTGTGTCTCTATTTGTTTCAAGATCTCCCTCCTTTGTGTCTTTTGTGTCTCAAGCTCCCTTTGTTTCATTTGTTTCAAGGTCTCTCTCCTCACTCTTTTGTGTCTCTATTTGTTTCAAAGGTCTCCCTCACTCTTTGTGTCTCTATTTGTTTCAAGGTCTCCCTCACTCTTTTGTTTCAAGTCTCTATTTGTTTCAAGGTCTTCCTCACTCTTTGTGTCTCTATTTGTTTCAAGGTCTCCCTCGCTCTTTGTGTCTCTATTTGTTTCAAGGTCTCCCTCACTCTTTGTGTCTGCTTTTGTTTCAAGATCTCCCTCACTCTTTGTGTCTCTCTTTGTTTCCACGTCTCCTTCACTCTTTGTTTCCCTCTTTGCCATGAGGATTCCTTTACTCTATGTGTCTTTCTGTTTCCTGGTCTCCTCACTCTTTGTTTCTCTCCTTCCTTTTACGTCCCCCTCACCCTTTGTGTCCCTCTTTGTTTCCATGTTTTCCTCGTTCTTTGTTTCTGTCTTTGATTCTTTCCTTTTTTTTCTTTTTTTTTTTGCATATTCTTTCTTTCTTTCTTTCTTTCTTTCTTTCTTTCTTTCTTCGCCCCTCCCCTTTTCGTTTCTTTTATTGTTTTCTTTATTTCATTCACACTTTATTCTTCCAAAGTACTTTGCTATTTTTATTTATAGTTTCCTCTGTTTTTATTTTCCCGTTATCGTAACTTTAAATGCAATTTCATAACATATTTATTTTTTAAAACTGCAAACTACTTTTATTTACAATTTATTTCCGTCAGTAACATGCAAATTTAATTACCAGATAAGAAAAATTGATCAAAACTTAATAATTTCTAGATAACGAATTTGATTTCATTCATGTCCTCTTGTTCTAGTGCTTGAGTATGTATTTATTATAAATTAGACTTTCATGATTAAGTTGATTACTAAGAAAACAAAGTTAATATCCAACAATTTATAATCACTAATTAATATAATTTCCGAGTGGTAATAAAGTTGGGGGAAGATTTTCATTACAGATATCACGAATCAATGCTTAATACATTTGATTTATATAGATATTTATAAACTGCAAATATAATTAAAGTCTTTTCATTTACTATATAGATATTCTTCTTGTGACATATCTGTTCACGATGTGGACAATTAAGGCTCCCCATAACATACTGTAGAGTATCTCACCCCAGAACATGCTAAAATAGACTTAACACTCAATACTGTATCAGGGCATCAAGGGGTCGGGAGATAACATTGACTCCTTAACCGCCGAGTGCAGATTCCTGTGACCGGATCTGATGCACTTATGTATAATTATATTACTGGATTTAACATTTACAGAGAGTCGATCCTAAGAGAACTAGAAGTCCTACCAGAATATATTGTTGGTAAGCACAAGATTAGCAATATAAGATATAAGAACGATACGGCGTTTATGGCGGACACAGAAAGAAAACTGCATGTTATGGGGTGATTTCACAGTGGAGGCTTGTATTTGTACTAAGTCAGTCTTAAAATAACGTTAGGAACTTGATATAATAGGTATAACGCAGAGAAATCTAGTGGTGGTCGCTGATACTTTAGTATTCGAATAACTGTCGTCCGACATCGACTGACTCACCGACCGACTGCGCGACGGTATTTAGTCACCCATCCCCCCACGAGGACATTATGTGGCACAAGGCCGGTTTAACGTGGGATCTCCGAGCCCGTGGGATCGGCCAAAAATATGCCCTTTGAACCCGTATAAACGGGTTCAGGGTCGGTTTACCTCTCCGAAAGAGACTCCGCCCTTCAGCGTAGCCTCGTCCGAAGGCAGAGAGTTCAACCGGTCAGCCGGTCGTCCGACTTCAGACTGAACTCAGACCGACCCACTGAGCGACTCCCTCCTTACTCTTACTACTCCTTCTTATTATAGGTGGGAGAGTCTATTAACTATAGAATAGGTGTGTTCCACTATAACAATGCAGGAACACATATTGATTCGTATATTCATTTTCTACGGTTTATCAATCCTTTGAAAGTTATTTAATGCCAGAAAATATTTTTAGTAAGATTGTAACAATCGTAACAATTTATTCATATTTTGGATATAATAATGATTTAGTGATAAAATCTTTACTAATCAACCCATAATTGGGCGAAGAAGAGATAGATTAATTCCCAAGGGTATTTGTGCGTAAGGGAATATAACGAAATCCAAATAGATTTGGAACTCGGCTTTTCTATCAATAATTCCAAGCCATTATCAATTAACCTGCCCTCACATCAAAGCTTACAGCATCTGTTATTCCCAAGAAGTTACCCATCTAGGTATTAACTAGGCTCGATGTTACTTAATATCTATTATCGTTCAGGAACAGGTGTTTCAATGTGATATGGCCGTAAACCGCAGGCACGCATAGACAAAGCAGTAAAGGAAAGCGACCAACTATCAAATGTAAGAAGAAGGAAATAGAGCAGGACGCGTGCTAAGAATTGGAGATTGATTAAATTAAGGATTTTCACTACTTGAGAAATATTTTAACAGACAGTGTAGAATCTGATGCCGAAATCCGAAAGAACCTTGCAATAGTGAAAGACGCCTTTCTGAAGCTGAACAGAGAATTAACAAACAGGCTTGGTTTCGTTTCGTTTATTTTGTTTTAGACATTTATCAATCTAAACTGGTTATTTAATGCCGACAAGATTTTTCGATTAGGGTCCTATAAATAGAATATGTATTCTTTATAAGACATCAATTTTTAGATTAGGCTTCATTGACGTATTTTTATGTGGTTTCGTTTATTTTGTTTTATGGCATATCACCTCAACAGGTTATTTAATGCCGACAAGGTTCGCATGAATCGAATATGTATTCTTTTAAGAGACTAGCAGCATGGCCCCGCGTTGCCCGTGCTTGATTCAAAAATCTTACGACTCATATAGCAATCGCTATCACCTGACTTAAAATATTTTTGCCCTTCCTTGCCTTTAAAGGAGTGCCCTTTGCCGTGCTGATGTTGCTACATGCCTTACTTCTTTCCTATCCCACACTGCGAATTTTCTAAGCTCTATACTAAACATTAAATCTGTTACGAAAAAAGAACTAAACAAAATGAACACAAAACGATCAGCTTTAAAAAAGGACTCGTAACTGGAAAAACCGAATGAAAAAAGAATGTTAACAACAAATACTTTTTCACGTCCGACCCAGTTCTGCGGAATCAGAATCAACGTTGAGTTTAAGCAAGCCAATGAGCCAATTGGAGTAAAGTGCAATGCAGATTTAAATTTTTCCCACTTGTGACGAATGCAGCTATCGATTTTCTTTTTTGCATGCTAGCATGCTAATTAACATTCGTGTCAGTCAGCTGTTGGCTCTCACGCTGGCCAATAGAATCTTCCTGCCTATTCGTGGAAGCCAGCTATAGGCTCTCACTCTGGCCAGTAGAAAATGGCAGCAAACTACATGAAAACTGCCGTAGAAGTATGAAAAAAAATCGATTATTTCCACTATTGATGGGAGTTGGGAAATGCAAGGTCGGTCTTGGCCTTCGCGCTAACTTGGAGCATATGCATGTAAATTTTGGTGCAAATCCGTCGAAAATTGCGGCCGTGTATTCTTTACACAGACATACACACATTCTACCTTTTATAGATAGAGATTAGTTTCATTAGCTTATTTTCGGAAAAAGAGGTTTTTTCGAGAGTCAAATGTATTACTAGTATCTTCACTATAAAAATCCATTTTTATACTATCATAGTGTTTTAACCCCAGTTTTGGAGTTAACTATTTGCCGATATCTGCGACGCTAACAGGTGCTTCCCCCTCCACACAAACACAGAGACTGGATCAGTGTGAATCTGGAAACAACAGCAATTAAGAGGTGGTTCCACGTTCCCCAAAGCTTCCCGAACAGAGGGCTTGCTGCTACATGTAGTTTATCGTCATACGCCTTAAGAAGCAAGGAAAATGCTGAGAAACAAAGAAGATATTGGTCTTCTACGTAACACCAATCATTCCATATGATAATGAATGCTGAATAATTCTCTCACACATGTAGAGAAGACTTGAAGCAATAGAGACGTTGTTCTGCAGAAGTATGCTGAGAATACCACGGAAAGGGTATGTCAACACCAAGATGGTTTTAAGGGAGATGCGAACGAAAAGGACACTGATAATCAGAAAGAGTTAGTTGACATTTCTGAGAAACACATTGAGGAAAGAAGGTTTGGTGCATTTGACACTGACGGTACATAATGAAAACATAATGGAAACTGCAAGTGAAATGCTTAACAATCTTGTATCAAGGCCTAGGAGGGATAGTGTTTTGACGAAAATTGCTTAAAGTCCCAGGGGATATGAATTTGTGGGGAGCCATTGTATCCGACATCCTGAAGAAAAAGACACATTAGAACCGAGAAGAAAGCATCAGAAATTACCAAAGAGAAAGTTGTTGTGAGTTACGATCTCACAGATTATGAAAGGACATGGCACATAAAAGGATGTTCAACAACTAAAATAATGTCTTTGACACGTGTTAATATTTTGGGATTTTTTGTATGTAGCCCTGACGAAGCACATACTATGCAGCTAAGTAAAGAAACGTTTTCATTAACTCGATTATCCCGACTACCATCGACTCCTTTAATCTTCTGCGTAAGATCTGCATCAATAATTAAAATTAAATAAACAGAATTTAATGCTTTGGAGTCATAATCTGAAATCTTAAGACGTAGTTTCAAAAAATCTTCAAAATAATTTGGAAACGATATTTCCTTGTCGTATGCTAACCTGGAGAAACGGTAATCTGAAATTGCGCTCGTCTGCACATTAGATTAATTAATTATTATTTTCTTTCCTTTGATTTCTGGTGTTTACACATTTCATTCCGGGTCCCGCCCAGAGACCTGAGGTCAGAAATGACATACGGCATTTCCCATTGAAAGAAAAATATATTTTACATAGATAAACCCCTTCGTAAGGTGTGGGCTGTACTCGTGAGAACATTTTTTTTGCATTTCTTTAAGGCAGGGGCTTCCAAGGATCACTTCAATTAGTCTACTGGAATCTTTTCCAACCAATCCGAGGGTTCCAACTACAGTAGGGATTGTTGATGTTCCCTTGTGTCACATAATTGAGATTTCGATTTCAAGGTTCTTGTATCTTGATTGCTTTTTGAAGGTCTTCAAATATACATTGCAGTTCGCAGAGACTGCCGTATCAATAAGGAGGCACTTTTTTTTGTTTGCGGTGTCCATGAACAATATCTGGGCGGTTAGCTTTGATTGTTCTGTCAGTGTGTATTGTGTAATTCCATGAAATTGTAACATGTCCTATCTCCGGTTAAAAAGATAGGATCTTTCCGCTTCCTACATGAGTCAGAACTTTCTGGTCAACCCATTATATTATAATATCATATATAATAAGTAGCAAACTATTGCACTTTGGATCCTTGGTAGATATTGTTGAGTGGCATATCAACATCACTATGGGTTACTTATGTCCAAATCTAAATATTTTTTACATAATTCTATACTTTAAGAGTAAAGATATATTTGTAGATCATAAAATGCATTGTTAGTAATTTTACTATAAAATGTATTTTTATATTTTTTTAGTATTGCATTGATTGTTATTTTCCTAAAAAACCTATTGTTGGTTGTTTTATTATAAAATTTATGTTCATTTTTGTTTGAGGGTACTATTTGCTCATAGCTGGTACCACCACCCAGGATCAGTGA